CCCCAAACTAGGCTTATTTGGGGGGTAAGGCTTATATTAGGCCCACCCCCCAAAAAAAATTAAGCTAGGGCTTATTTTTGGGCAGGCCTTACTTTCAGGAAAACACGGTAACTACCAAATAATAAGGCTCCATATATTTATATTATCAAGATAGAGAAAGAAGTGTGGCAAGGTTGAATTTTTTCCACCCTTCTTATTCAACCTATCAATGAAAGTATAAATCATCTGATCAAAAGGATTAAATAAGAAAGTAAGAAACTTGGCTTCTTCCTGAACATCAGAAAGACCAAGCTTATGACCATTTTGAGGAATGTAAATATCAAAATACCAATTGATGGTGAAGAAATTGAATGTGCAAGAATTCACTTTCCTAAAATTGCAGATTGATCAAAGCAGCTAAAGAAGTCTACAAATAAAGCATCAAAATGCACTGGGTTGCACAGCAATGATGAACATGAATAGAGTACGAAAAAGCAAAGACATCAGTTTGGCAACTAAAAGCAGATTAATCCACACTATGGTGTTACCCATAGCTGCCTATGATTGCAAAAGTTAGACCATGAAGAAATTAGATAGGAGGAAAATCAATTTGTTTAAACTGTGGTATTAGAGAAGGCTCTTGTGCATTTCTTGGACAGTAAAGGTGACAAACAAGTAAGTACTGGAGTGTATAAAACAAAACATTGCTGGAAGGCCAAATCACAAAATTCTACCCTACTTATTTCAGCCATATCATGCACTCAAACTCACCAGAGAAGGTTGTTATGCTTCAAATGGTCAGCGGTAAAAGGAAACGAGGCCACCAAAAACCATAGTGATAAGACACCATCAAAGCCAGATCATAAAACAACTGAAATAAGCCGTAAAGTTTGGAAAATGTGGAGAGCTGATCCACAGAATTTCTGAGATTGAAAGGACAGCATCTTTAATTTTAGAATGTCCTTCTAAGAAAAAAAAGTTCAGCACAATAATAACTCATGCAAGGTGGTAATTAATAAATGTCCTCCATCTTCTATTTTTTTGCACATGCACTGCTGGTACCTGCAATAGGAATCTATCAATCAGACCATATACAGTAAGGAACAGAGCATCAGTGAAGTGCTGGAATTTCAAAAATCTGGACTGCAAAGTCTGTTCTGCACTATTCCACAGTAGCCACATTTTGTATTAGATGAAGCTTCTGGGTGATATTTAATGATAATCCCTCAAATAGAGCATATATAAATAAAGCAAAGCAAAACAAAACAATAAGTAATACGAAGCATTACTGTAATTCAGGCAGGAGATTATCAGAGCATGATGACAATTGGCAACCACTGAAAACAGCACTGTAATAGCTGTAGCTGGCAAAACCACTCAAGTCATGTGGCCATCAAATGCTGTACTAAAATAACTATTCATTTCTTATATCATTGAAGGGGCAACCATCTCTAGAAAGATAGCATAGTTATAATACATGAAAAAAACTTACATAGAAATATTTTTAAACTCAAGATTTCTTAAAAATCACTATTTGTTACATGTTTAGAAAACATTAGTTTTCTTAATATATTTTGAAGGTTGCCAAAAGCTGTATTTTTGCCTTACTCTCTTCTCCCAAAGAATAAATATGACGGACGTCAAACACAGGAATACAACTTTTTTTATTTTTGAAAGCAAATAGCATTTAATAGGGGCCATCAGAATAAAGTTTAATTGGATTGGCAAAAATCTTAAACAGATTCTTCCAAACTCCAGAAAGAGCTAGACCGAGAATTAAGTTTAGAAAATTAAAATGTAGAAAAGAATCTTGGAGTATAGTATCTCTGAGGACAAAATACACAAAATAATTACGCAGGGGACTTTACCTAACAGCATTGCTCCTTTCAATGATGATATGTGGTTTGATTTTGGGGGGGGGGAGTCAACCCACCACCAAATAAACATTTTGTACTACAGTAATTACAATCAACCAGTGAAAAAAAAGCCAGAGAAAGTCAGTTCTATCCTAGAACTTATATCCCTCATGAATATAGTGGTTAAGCCAGATGATGTTAATTAGATCTGCAAGCATTGTATTTATCAAATTCATGTGGAGAGAAAGCATAATCTAACTTGCATGCTGTATGTGCTGCAAGTACTAATGAAGCTACTTCATTGCAAGATTAAAAATTATTCCACCTTTATGTCTCAGCAGGTGGCAGCATCTAGCTGATCTCATCTAAGCTTGGAAGCTAGGAAAGATCAAGCTACTAGGCCAAACTTGAAAGTGAGAAAAAGAATACTATACAAGAATATCAGAAATATAGGTTAGATTGGGAATCTGAAATACTTCCTGGAAGGGCAATGATAAAAAGGTACTGGATTGCTCTTCCTGAAATTAGATGTTTTTTTCCATGTAGTCACTGGGAAACTTGACTTAAGGACATATTTATCTTTTTATAATAGTATATTTAATATTATAATAGCACAATAGCACAATATACTATAATTTATATAGCCACCCAGAATTCAATATAGCATGGGTGGCTATATAAATGTTTTAAATCAATCAATCAATCAATGTCACAAATTTTATAAGTTATAATCCAAAACCATCGTTAAGGCTATCTACTTGCACTATTCTCTTCTTCCATTTTCTGTTATTGTTCAAATCCTTACACTATTCAATCAGAATGCTACTTTCCAGTCCAAAAGACTTTTTAAAAAAAATAGTAAAACATCGCTGACTTTCTGAAATATACATTACTGTGGGTTTTTTTAAATGATCGTTTCTAAATGGAAACTTTTAGGATATTATCATTTCATAGACGCGTCAGAGAACAAATGAGAGAATATTTAAAATATCAAATTCTCTTTCAAAGAAACCTAGAATTATTTCTATTTCTGGAGAACTAATTAGTAAATAATGTACAATTAAGAGGCATTGTTAGCAGCATTTGGGGAAAAGAAGCATGTCATATTACTCATTCTACTTGAGCTAATAAAGAATTGAAAAGATTTCCTGTCCAGATCCAAAACTGCTCCTCATTATTGTTAAAAACAAAATAAATTCTGGACAGTCAGAATCTTTTTCAAAGAACCATGGGAACATAACTGAGAACGGAAACTGTAATGCACACTTGTGTGCCAGGCAATATGCACACATCTCAAAGATTTTACTCTGTGTGCATCTCTGTTCTTGAGAACAGAATCATCTTTTTCAAAAAAATATTGCAACAACTCCCCTCAAAAAATCCAAGAAACAATGAATAACATATATTGTTACTTTTTCTATAAACTGATGTAGGATGACCAAGAGTATGAAAACCTTTCCTAGTTATTTGTATTTTTAACTTGGCAGGGATACCAGCAAAACAAGATTCTCTTATGCCTAACCCACATCAAATTGCAAACAGTACATTACATGAATTAAATGTCAACAATTTTAATAGGATTGGAGAATCAGATGATGCAAAGAACCCACTTTAAAATAAATTATCATGCACAAATTTAAAGCTGATTGTTTGTTGTAAATCATATGAACTAAGTTTCTGAAAAAGCCATTTTTAAAGAGATGTCTGTCAATAGCAACTGAATGTACAATTTAAAGACCCATGCCTTAATTTTAATTACAATCTATAGACACAAAAATTAATGTTAGAGGAAATTTTATTTCAAAAGATATTTTCTGCCAGAACATAATAATTCAGATCTTGACACAAGTATAGCTGAATACTAGAGTGGTTGTTTTTTTTTTAAAGCTCTTTACTGAAGTTTCCCTACTGCAGAAATGATTTGAAGTTAGATTTAGATTTAAACCCTTAATAAAAAAAAATGAAAATGAAAAGCTGCTTAGACTTCTGTGCAAGGAATGACTTAAGGAAGATCATTCTACAGTCACACAGTTAGACCAGTATGATTATTTCCATTGCTCAGATACATACAGAACACGCAGGACCTTAATGGATATTTCAAAGGAAGCTACTTTTAGCAGTCTACCTGCAAAAGCATATTTTGATTAAACATGCTGATTATTTGATGGGAACATGGTGTTAATCTATGGCCACAAAATAGGCACTTAAATGTGGTAGCACAATTTCATTAGAATGTAAGCCGCGGTGCATCTGATGAAAAGAGCTGCTTATTGCTGGGAAATATAATTTAAAGGGACAATATAATATAATATTAAATATAATATGGACAAATGATAGAAGAATAGTAGTAAAAAAATCATTTCTACTACTGATGAGTCGAAAAACTTTTTTATGTATGAACTTACTCCAAAAGATTTTTCAAGGAACTTTTTTATTTCTGTTGGAATTATTATAAAAGGAAGAATACTTAATGAACATTATAGGTTGTAATTACAACAGAAAGTTCATTAAGTCAAGAAGTAGGCAACTTATTTCTGTGCACTGATCTGCTAGCCAGGAGAAAGCGTACTCTTCTTCAGGCTAGCCTAAACAATTACTTAAACCAGAGTTCCCACCCTTTCCTTCTTTGCGGATCGGTGGGGGATGATTCCACGCGAGCAGCCAGCAAGCCTGCATGTGCAGCTCCAATTCCACGAGCCGTATACATGTGCGTCTGCTCCTCACACAAATGGAGTATGGATGCACATGCTCGTTTGCTGCTCATGCAAGTGGGGATGCGCATGCGTGCGCTCACCTATTTCCGCAGCCCAGTTACAAATAGTTCATGCCCACTATTGGGCCGCAGCCCAGAAGTTGGGGATCCCTGACTTAAGCAATGGTTTACTAATTCAAAGTTTACTAATTGAAACAAGAGGCAAGGAGCAAAATCAGTGATGCTATATTGCCATGTCTGAATAAGATCACTGGCAATTTTATTAGTCATTATTAAAAATTCCCTTTATAATTCTGGATAGCAAAATATTTAGTTTAACCAAAAGAAAAAGCTTTCCTGTGGGTGAGAAAGAATGATGATGATGATGTAATTGGGTAAAGTCAAAGATTTAATGATGCATGTAACAAAATAATAATATCTAAGAAAATTTATTGATTTTCTTTTGTACTTACTTATTCTGCATCATGTTCATTATAACCCAGTCAGAAGGATAGACATTTTTCCCAATAAGATTTTTGAACATGATGAATGTTTCCATAAGGAAGTCCTAAAACAGAAATCAAAATATATGACTGCTATTTTACATAAAGAATAAAATAAAAATTACTTTCATTTGTAAAAATAATAGGAATAATGGAAGAAAATACTCATGGAAGTTAAAATTAAATTGAAAAAAACTGTATCTTGCTGAACAAATAAATGTATCGGATTACCTCTAATCAATACTGTATTATTGAATGATACCATAATACATTTTATTAGTAATGCCATCTCCAAGCAAAGCCAATTTGTAACAAAACTAATACTGCAGGAATAAACAACCTATAAATGTCTCAGACTGTAGTTCCAAAGTTCCAGATCCCTCACTATAGAGAACTATTGTTTATTTTTACTGTAAATTGGATTTTATATCAATTGTCATCATGTTATTTTTGTACTGAGTTTTCATATATTGTCAATCATGCAGATTAATTATTCCTGGATGAAAGAGATAGATAGATAGATAGATAGATAGATAGATAGATAGATAGATAGATAGATAGATAGATAGATAGATAGATAGATAGATAGATAGATAGATAGATAGNAGGCAGGCAGGCAGGCAGGCAGGCAGGCAGGCAGGCAGGCAGGCAGGCAGGCAGGCAGGCAGGCAGGCAGGCAGGCAGGCAGGCAGGCAAACGGAAAGAGACAAACAATAAATATGTTATATTAAGCACAGTAATAATAATAATAATAATAATAATAATAATAATAATAATAATAATAATAATAATAATAATAAAAACAACAACAACAAAACCAACTACAACAACGTTGGAAGGGACCTTGGAGGTCATCTAGTCCAACCCCTTGCTCAGGTAGGAAACCCTATACTATTTCGGACAAATGGCTGTCCAGTCTCTTCTTAAAAACTTCCAGTGTTGAGGCATTCACCGCTCTTGGAGGCAGGTTGTTCCACTGGTTAATTGTTCTAACTGTCAGGAAGTTTCTCCTTAGTTCTAGATTGCTTCTCTCCTTGATTAGTTTCCATCCATTGCTTCTTGTCCTGCCTTCAGGTGCTTTGGAAAATAGCCTAATTCCCTCTTCTTTCTGGCAGCCCGAGATATTGGAACATTGCTATCATGTCGCCCCTCGTCCTTCTCTTCATTAAACAAGACATACCCAATTCCAGCAACCATGTTTTAGCTTCCAGTCCCCTAATCATCTTTGTTGCTCTTCTCTGTACCCTTTCTAGAGTCTCAACATCTTTTTATATCGTGGTGACCAAAACTGCAATTACCAAGGCATTGTAAAGTGGTATTAATACTTCACGTGATCTTGATTCTATCCCTCTGTTAATGCAGCCTAGCACTGTGTTGGCTTTTTTGGCAGCTGCAGCACACTGCTGGTTCATATTTAAATGATTATCCACTAGGACTCCGAGATCCCTCTCACAGTGACTACTATTGAGCAAGGTACCCCCTATACTATACCTGTACATTTGGTTTTTCTTGCCTAAATGTAGAACCTTACTTTTTTCACCGAATTTCATTTTGTTAGATAGTGCCCAGTGTTCAAGTCTGTCCAGATCCTCCTGTATCTTAAGCCTGTCTTCTGGAGTGTTGGCTATTCCTGCCAGCTTGGTGTCGTCTGCAAATTTGATGAGTTCCCCATCTATCCCCTCATCCAAATCATTGATGAAGATGTTGAAGAGCACTGGGCCCAGAACAGAGCCCTGGGACACCCCACTACACACTTCCCTCCATGTACTGTAGATGCGGTTCCATTGAGGACCACACGCTGAGTACGGCCGGTCAACCAGCTACAAATCCATCTGGTGGTGATGCTGTCTAACCCACATTTTTCTATCTTATCAAATAGTAGGTTGTGATCTACTTTATCAAATGCCTTACTGAAGTCCAAGTAAATTATATCCACAGCATTTCTCTGATCTACTAATTTGTCACTTGGTCAAAGAATGCAATAAGATTTGTCTGGCATGATCTGTTTTTAACAAACCCATGTTGGCTTTTAGTAATGACTTTGTTTGCCTCTAGGTGTTTGCTGATTCGTTGTTTATCTTTTCTAGAATCTTCCCAGGTATTTGGGTCAGGCTGATAGGTCTATAATTTCCTGGATCCATTTTTTTTCCTTTTTTGAAGATGGGAACTACATCAGCTCTTTTCCAGTCCTCTGGTAGTTCCCCAGTCCTCCAGGATCTTTGAAAGATATAGTTCAGTGGTTCTGAGATCACATCTGCCAGTTCCTTGAGAACCTTGGGGTGTAATCCATCTGGTCCTGGTGATTTGAACTCATCTAAGCTGGACAGGTGCTCACTTACCATTTTCTTGCCTATCTTAACTTGTGTTTCTATTCTGTTTTTTATGGCACTATTTTTGATAGGTTGGTCTGCTTTTTCCCTTTGTGTAAAGACAGATGCAAAAAATGAGTTAAATAGTTCTGCTTTCTGCCTGTTGTTTGTCACCTTGCCACTTTCTTCCACTATTTCTTGTTTTTTACATGCTGAAAGAAGCTTTTTTTTGTTATTTTTGTCTTTGGTCGCAAGCCTTAGTTCATTATGAGCCTTAGGTTTCCTCACTTCATCTTTGCAGGCTTAGGCTATTTGCTGATATTCTGACTTAGTTATGTGCCCCTCTTTCCACTTTCTATACTTGTCCTTTTTATCTTTCAATTTATCAGAGAGTTCTTTATGCAACCATGCTGGTTTCTTTTGAGAGCTGTTATTTTTCTTCTTTGTTGGTATTGTGCTAGACTGGGCTTTTATTATCTCACTTTTCAAAATTTCCCAAGCTTCTTGAGTTGTTTTCCCCTTGAGGGTTCTCATCCGTGGAATCCTTCCCAAGCCCTCTCTAAGTTTATTGAAATTAGTTCTCTTAAAGTCCAAGACTCTAGTTTGACTGTGTTCTATTGCTTGTTGCTTCCATAATGTTGAATTCCAATATTGCATGATCACTTCCTCCCAAGGTTCCTGTGGCTTCAACACCTTCTATCATTTCGTCTCTGTTAGTGAGAATTAGATCCAAAATGGCTAATCTCTACTTTTTGGGAGACAAAGTTGTCTGCTAGGTTTGTCAGGAATCTGTTTGATCTTCCATTTGGTGCAGAGTTTGTCTCCCAGTTGATGTCAGGGTAGTTAAAGTCCCCCATTATTATTGTGATGTGCTTCCTACATACCTTAATTAACTGACTAGCAAAAAGTTCATCTATTTCCTCTGTTTGATTCGGTGGCCTATAGTATACACCTATGGCAATGTCATTTCCCCCCCTTTTATATTGACCCAAATGCATTCAGGAGTTTTCATCATTGTTGTGCTCTATTTCTGTAGAGATGTAGTTATTTCTTATATAGAGAGCAATTCCACCTCGTCTTTTATTTGGTCTATTTCTTTTAAATAATTTAAATCCCTCTAGCTGAGTGTTCCATTTGTGGGTTTCATCCCACCATGTTTCCGTAATGGCAACAATATCATATCTGCCCTCATTAACCTGAATTTCTAGTTCACCCTTTTTGCTGTTCATACTCTATGCATTGGTGTATAGACATTTGAGTCCTTTATGACTGACCCTGTGTTTACTTTCTACATAACCTGTGTGGTGCCTGAGTTCCCCTATTTTCTTACCACCTATTTGGTTAGTGCACTTTGTGTGGCACACGCTATTAAAAGCTTGATTTTGCTTGACAGCAAGGTTGATATTCTTGTCCACACACACATCTATGTTACATGCACTGATAGCCCTATAATTTTTAGATTGCCGGGTACAGGGATGTTCTGTATCAATTAAGTCACTGTCCCCGTCGTTTAGTTTAAATATTCCTCCAGAAAATCTGTTAGCATAGTCAATGATTGGGAATTGAAAGATTCCATTCAAAACATCTGGAAAGCATGTGCAATCAAGAATATTTCATCATATTATAAATTGATTTATTTTAATTTAGCATAGGGTTTTAGTGGCACAGCATAACAGCTGTCCCAAAGCTTCTACATTCAGAAAAATAAACTAAATTATTGATTTTCAGATTCCCAACATCAAAGAGAGCTTCAACAGGCTGTCATTCTTAGCAAGTATCAATGAAAATCAGTATTTTGACAGTATAGCTTGCAAACTTAAAATTTGTTAAGTGACTGTTATTAACATACATTGCTAGTATTACAAAAAGTAAATATTTCATTTTAAGCACAAATATAACATGTATGGTAAAGTCCCATTTGAACTAATACGTTAGTTTTATTGTTTTCTACATCAGGATGAAGCTTGATGATTTTTTCAGAACAACCCTATTATTTTGCTGACTTAATTATCATGCTATTTTTTTCAATCAGATGGATGTTTCACTTTTTAATGAAATGCTTGATTTCCTTGTTTTACAATGTAATAATTGTATAGCCATAATTTTAACAAGATTTATACTCAAGTACATGGGTGCTGAGTTGAAACGGTGGAATTTATCCTTGAATATATTATTGTTCCAGATGCATACTTTATTAAAGGTCCTGTTTGTTTCAACTATTGGGTTTACGTACCTTTCCTAAATTTGGAGGCTGAATTTTCATATAATTTGAAAAGGGTGCAGCCTATATAGCACTCTTTATTAACTACAGAGCAAGAACAACATTATTGACCACCATCTACTGTCACGTTTACATATATTTAACCAATGTACTTTACAATATACAGCCTAATATTAGAAACAGAAACACTAATGACTGTGACAATTCAGCAGAGAAAATTATTGAAAAAGAAGAGTTACTCCATTAGCACCAAGTCCATTTGCCACTCTGTTTCTGGACTATTATAATTAAGATTAATGGTTATAAGAGCTCATACTTAATTGCCTAAACAATACTTTTTCTGTTCTTTTTTCCTCCATGTTGTTATGGCCTCTAAGATTATAGTAGCTTACCAGTCTTATGAAAGCTGTTCAGAGGTTGTTGTTTTTTCAGATGAAGAGTAATGAGAGTGCCTTTAAAGAAAGAGTAGCTAAGTGGTTTCTGGCACACTACCCTGGGATACATGAAGATTGTTTTCTGACCTCTCACCATCTCTACTCTTTCTCCTTCCTCCCTTAACAGCTTGCAATAAGTAGTTGGATAGAGAAAATAAGACTCAAGTAGTTAAATTAAGGACATCTTATCTAGTTTTTCTCACCAGTTTTCTTTCAAGAGAAAGACTGTATAATATCAAGAAAGAAAGAAAAAAAGACCTGGAATCTTCCTTGCTGAATGCGTCATCTTCTATCCAATAGCCAGAGTAAGTAAGCTATATAGAACATGAGTTCTTCTTTCTTAGTGATGGTATTGGTTGGTTTATTTTACATAGGTAAATGCTACAGGAAGGCCGGAGGGCGCAGGGTGTGGAAGACTGGGCCATGGATATAAGTTAGGCGTAAGCGCAGAAAGACCAAGGCAAAGACAGAACAGCAAGGCATGAGCTCAGGAAAACTGGACAGTACAGGGGATTGTGAGCTCAGAAAGGCCAGGGATCTTACCAAAGCGAACTGCAACTTTCTCTTCCAGCTTCTCTGGACTTTACTTATGGGAAGCTGGCAGAGAAGATCACAAATATTATGTGACCGAAGGATGCTGCAGCAGTTATAAGTGCAAACCACTTGGGAAACATTAGTATTTTGGTAGTAGCAAGTGACAAGTTTGTATATGATTCTTTTCAACAGCTTCCTTCCCATGATTTACTTGACCATGGTATACTTAATATTTCCATTTTCCTGGTTTCCTATGGCACACAATTACGGTATGCTACAAAATGTAGTTAACTACTTTACAATTTACCAGGTCATGTAAATACTGCCTAGAATGTAGACAAGTTCCAATTCCAGCAATTTTACCCAGCATGGCCTGAGATTTCACACCTTGGCCTTAATGTGCTTGTGAACAAATTTAAAGAACCACTATCACCTCTTTTAGCCTAACCAACCTCTTAAGATTAGCAGGCAAACTTTTTTCAAGCTTTTGATAACGAGTACAATTATTCTAGTGGGCACAAGGGATCGGACTATTTCAGTTTCATCATTATGAGCTTAAAAACGCTCAAAGACTAATTTAAATCTTAGATAGCATACAAATCTTTTAAATTAATTAATCCAAACCAAGACACAACTGATAAAATGTGTTAAAAACAAGGTATTGGATTAAAAATCTTACCTTGGAAGATAAAATATGACTTCAAAAAGAAGAAACAAAATAATAGAATATATAAACTACAGTACTTTTGCAAATTCTTATCAGTTCCCATTTAATTATTTAAATAAAGTACATTTGCTGCATATACAGTATTTAAAAATAACAAAGCAGTTTAACATAGCATCCAATTAAATATGCTTTTTCCAGAGGAGTATGGTAACAGTCAGTACAAAACAGCAAAATTAGGAAAAGATTGAGATTCACACAATATGTGTCAGTTTCTACTATACCAGAGGTGTCAAACTCGCCACGTCACATGACGTGTCGCGACGTTATCGTGACTCTTTTTGCATTGCCGGCAATGGGGTGGAGTCTCAGAATTGCATCCTAATGAAGTAGAACAATATGGTCTGCAGACTGGTGCCAGTCCACGAATTATTTGTTACTGGTTTGCAACAAGATAAGCCCAGAATTTGAGAATAATTGTTTAGATAACTTTCTAGCAATTTGACATTGTCTTGATACCCAAGCACATGATGAGCAGACTTGTCTCACTCAAAAAGACATAAACTGGTTCAGGTGTTGTGGAACTTGCATGGTGATCATACGTAGCACAAGCTGCATTTTACAATCTGTGATATTTTAAGGGTGAGTTTGTCAGCTGTAACCCAAAAATGTATAAACATCTGAGAAAATGTAAGCATTTATTTTTGTAACTTGTTATTCTTACAATCACTTTAATTTTTAATCAAGCCTGTTTTTAATTTATGGTTTAACATAATTAGCTAAATTAAGGCAGTAACATGTATATTATTTATTTTTATCCCTAATTTCTTCCATCAAAAGATGATTTAAATTTAATTACCGGTATAACTTTACAGGATAAATTGTTGGAACTGATATAACACCACTTCCTGTATTCTGGATAAAAGTTAGAAATGAATACCCTTGAGATTTCTGAAATTGATTTAAAACATCTTCTTGTCAACATAACTTTGTAAGATTGGTTTCTCTGCTCTGAGTGTTACTAAAACAAAACACAGAAACAGTTTATGCTGTATATTATCCTCTATAAGCAGCACTGTCATCAATCCAATCTAGATTAGATAAATTTACAAGCAAGAAGCAAACTAACTTGACCCATTAGAAATTTTACATGTAAATATATGTAGTGTTTGTTCAAAGTTTATATAAAGGTAAAGGAGTCCCTGTTATTTTACTCAGCTAGTCATTGAACATTGTAGGGATGGTGCTCATCTCCATTTCATTGAGCCAGTGCTGTCTGAAGACATTTCCACGGTCATGTGACCAACATGACATCACTTTTACCTTCCCTCGGAAGCGATATCTATTTATCTATTCGCATTTGCATGCTTTCAAACTGCTAGGTTGGCAGGAACTGAGGCAATGATGGGAGCTCACTCCTTTGTGTGGCACTTGGGTCTCGAACCTGGGCTGCCAGCTTTCTAGCTGACAAGCCCAGATTGGTATGACATACTAAATATGTGAGTGAATAAAAAAGAAATTTCTTATTAATGGATCAGAAGGCAAAACTTAAATAGAGGTCATAACGTTGGAAAATCGCTGGCAGAAATTTCAAGTTCTAGTTTTGCATCCAGCATTTTCCCAGTCAATTCCCTGTATCCATATCAGAGCAAGCATACATAGCCATTCAGTTCAGCTAGCAAAAATAGCTTGATGCTTATTAAACATCAGCAAAATTAACAGGTAAAATGAGAGAGAGAGAGAGAGAGAGAGAGAGAGAGAGAGAGGGAGAGAGAGAGAGAGATATGGGTTACAAGGAAGACACAGTATAGAAGTTAATAAACTTGAAATCTTTAGACTCACTGCAAACAATACTGTAATTGGAATGAACATTCCAAAGGGAGTTTGCTTATTCCAGTTTCAATCCTTTAATGTAAATAACAGCCGTAAAACAGAAATGGAAAGTAGGACCCTCCCCTGCACCGTAAAGAGTGGAGGCACCATAAATTGGGTGGATGGTGATGATGTATCTCACCCTTGAAACTTGGGCAGATATATGAGAGAAGATAGTGCTTCAGAGAGCTTGGTTCCAAACTTACACCAATATCTTAAGAAATACTTTTTATGTGACTTTTGTATTGGTGCAATGTAATTAGCATCTATAAGCATTCTCAGTGCCACAATTTACAAGACTTGATGTATTTACATTGTTTTTATGGTAAACTGAAGCAACATATTCTTTTTCCAGATAAACCTGCACTTGTCAAGCAGTAGTAAACATTTGCTTCATTGTGGCATACAAGTTTCACGCATTTTAAACATTAACATTAAAATAAAAATAAAAATGGCATCAGTTGTAAAAAAAATAACTGCTTTTAATTCTTTGCTCTGAAACTCTACCTTGGCAAAAAGCTTGATTGGTATAACATTTAAAGTAAACACATATAATTTTTCATATATATTCTGAAAACTACTGCAACTATCTTTTTAGAAGACTGTAAGACAGTCCATTAATTTTCAGGCTCAGTAAATGCTGATTTACACCAACCAATCTGAGCTGTAAAAAAGGCAGCAAATTGATATAGAAAAATCATACTTTGCTGCTATTGTTTGTATTTTGCAGCTTGGATCCTAACATTGCTACTAGGAAGCAAAGGAGAAAGATGCCACAAATCAGTTCCATAAACCTCACAATTGCAATTTGATTTGCGATCAGATTCAATGAATTTTTCCATTTTTATGTCTTTTTGCTGTGTTTTTTAAAATGTTCTTTATGGGTTAAATATGAGGTGCTTGTTTGTGTAATAGGCCTAGTAATCACTACCATTTGAATCATACAATGATACTAAAATAGTTCTGACCTGCCGTGGTTAAATTACTAAACTGAGAAGTGACAAAAATGACAAAAAACTTTAAACTTATTTCCTTTCCTTTCCCTCCCCTCCCCTCCACAGAGCAGGCAACCACTATGGCCAAACTGAGATGAACGTCATTAAATGACATTAAATGTCATTAAATGAGCCAACCACTTATTTCCAAGCAAATTTCTAATTGGAGTCACTAAATTGAGAAATCTGTTTTTCTCCTTTGCCTCTATCTGTAGTCAGATTTTTTTCTCATACTGTCTGAAATGCTGTACCACAGACTCTAACTTCCCTAGCAACAAAATCTGTATCTAGCACCATAGTATGGACGTCATGTTATCTGCTAATTAATAGATCTCAGCTAATACATTTGGGTCTGTCTTTGCAGAACACATTTGCCACAGGGCCACAAAAGAGCCAGGTCATTAGAGATATCCGCCCTTGACTATTAATTCCATTTTATCATACCCTAATTAAGTAGTGCTACATAAACAGAAATATAGATTAGAAAGAATCTTGAGGAGCTTGATATATTGTCCCTATTAATAATCAAATATATCTTTAAATCTATACATGTTTAATAATACTAATTAGGGTGCCTACTACATCAATAATCTTAAGAGTTGCTTGAACAAATTAAATGATTTTAGAAACCTAGTATATACGTCAAGATAAAACTTATATACAATAAACCTGTTAGTGGAATAAAATAAAGCTCCAGTACAATACCATATATCGTAAATGATAAGTTTGTGGGTGGGATTCAAATGTAAAAATTATTAATGGCATAACATAAAAGGTTACATATTTGATTCCACCCTAAAACCTGATTCAGTATGCTTCAAAATTTTGATTTTCTTTAACAATCATCATTTAATGTAAGAATAATGACACATTTTTTGTTCTTGGCATGGAAGACAAACAATGTATATCACTGATTTTCATGTCTGGTCATAAGTTTCTCAGAAAAAGTTTTTTCAGCTTTATAATGATTTATCATATAATATTTTTTAAAAATAGTGTAAAAATGGGACAATGTTTCAGGTTAAACTTACAACAACATCAGTTCTCATCTTCCCCAAAGTCTTGATTAAGTGAGCATAATGATAATCTTCCATTTGTCTTAAAATAGCTGTCATGCTTGCAACAAAATTTCCCTGAAAATAAAGAGAAAAAAAAACAGATGTCACACAATATGCAGATTATCAGCAATTATGGGCAAATCTCAAGCTATAAGAACATTTCTTTCAAAAAAGAATAATTAATAAAAAGATGAATTTACTGCTGTTACTTCTAAAGTCCCTATAATTTTCTGAACACTATATTGTTTTACGTATATGTTTTGCAAAACTTTTGGCTCTTAGTATTGCTTAATAATTGCTAAAATACATTTTTATTCTCTATAAAATACGATTAATTATGGGGGTTACCTTATCTTATTTTTTTTTTAATGAGTGGATTGGATCAGAAAAAGGGAGTCTGTATCTTGCGCCATGAAGACATGAATCCTAAATTCATATATTATTTTGGCACTGTGTGCATGTATCTGTGTACATATATATATATTTATACAGGGAACAGATACAATATACATAGAGAGGAAATGCATCCTATGCATTAGTGGTAGTGTATTTTGTTTACACAACTGTCCATTTGGTTCCTGATCAATGCAAATTAAGGTTTCCCATCCAGTCATATCCGACACTAGGTGGCGGTGCTCATTTTCGTTTCTTAGTCAGCATTGGCTAAAGATATTTCCATGCTTATGTGGCCAGCATGATTATACGCTGAGGCACACGGAATGCTGTTAGCTTCCTTGTGAAGTGGTACCTATTTATCTACTTGCATTTGCATGTTTTCAAACTGTTAGGTGGGCAGGAGCTGAAGCAGGTAACGGGATCACCCTGTTACATAGCATTTGGGTCTTGAACCTGGACTGTTGACTTTCCAGCCAAAAAATCCAGTGTCTTAACCACTGAGGCATCGTGTCCCTCTCATTTAACTAATTATATTAATTTTTATTTTATTTTATTTTATTATTTTATTTATTTTATTATTTTATTTTATTTTATTTTATTTATTTTATTTATTTTATTTATTTTATTATTTTATTATTTTATTTTATTTTATTTTATTTTATTATTTTATTTTATTATTTTATTATTTTATTTATTTATTTATTTATTTGTGTTTTCAAGCCAGATTTCCTGGACAAGTCCTTCCAGTTTTCTTGGCAAGGTTTTTTTTTTTTAAGTGATTTGCTATTGCCTTCTTTCTAGAGATGAGAGGAAGTGACTGTCCCAAGGCGACTCATCTAGCTTCATGTCTAAGGTGGGACTCGAATTCACGGTCTCCTGGTTTTTAGTCTGATGCCTTAGCTATCAGATAAAACTTGATCTCAGTTGTATTAAATACTGTATTGTATAATATTTTTAAATTTCTTTTAACTGCCAGTACAACATGTAACTGGAAAATTGCACTGCATTTTGCATATAGATCTTATGTATATCTTGTACATCTTATGTAGATATTAGGACTATGCAGCACTCCAATAGTGCTTCAGCATGTGTGGAATATGAATGTAGCTTAAAACAGCTGCACCCGCTTGTAAAGCATGTACATCCCTAATAAGTAAATTGAAATAATACATTATTTTGCATACATTTATACAGATGTTCATAAAAATGTTTAAATACACAACCATTGTCAGTAAGTCCTAACTAAACTATAGGCAAAATAAGGAATTGAAAGCCCCTTGCTTCTTCTTTTACAGCAGTCATTTTCTATACAAAATAATGAAAACATGAAGGGAGACAAGACTACTACTTACATTGAAATTAGATATGGTAAGGGACAAATTTTCTAAATCAGATAAACTTATTCAAACATTTATCAGCACCTGCGGCATCCTCTAAAACATTCTTCATTTATGTTGTAATCTCATGGCAATTTACTGTTTGACTGTTTTCTCCAAGATATTATTTTTTAAAAAATCTTAGCCTCAAAACCTTACATGCATTTTAATTCTGATTAATAGCTTTAGTAATTAATTTTCTAGTTAATGTTTTAAGAATGTGGTCCTCAGGTTATGGCCATTTGTTCCATGACTATTGAAAGTTATGATAGCACTGAATTGGGGGGGTGGATTTATAACTGTACTTGATGTTGTGTCTGTTACAGTCTCCCTGTGGTCACATGATTGCAATTCAGGTGCTTGGCAACCAGCTATCAATTATAATAGTTGCAATGCTCTGCATTCATATTATTGCCATTTGTGACTTTCCCATGAGTAAAGTCAATGGGAAGGACCCAGTAGGAAGTTATAAGTCACCCCCAATGCTTTTTTGTCCACCTGTGATCTTTAGTGCCTACCTGCCCATTGAGCAACTACCCAGGGCACCCACCCTCCATAGTACCCATCNGTACCCATCCATAACACCTGTCTCCTGGCCTATACTTCACAGCACTCACTTGTGGCACTTGCCTGCCCACTCACAGCTATCACCTGCCAGCCTGATTGCCTGAGACTCCTCTTCCCATGCCATGGTCATGTGAGGTCCTCACTTAACAACCTGCACAATCTTGAGGTTATGATGGCAACTGGGAGTGCTGGGATTGCTATCACTAATGATGTAGTCTTATGACATCATTTTTTATGACATCACTTACCAATGGAAATTCTGGTCACAATTACCATTGTACCAAGGACTACCTATAAAACAGCACACACGCACCAGGGACCGGTTCCGTGGGGAGAGATTTTTCCATGGACTGGAGAGGGTGTGGTTTCATGTTCTGCCTGCATCCCACGGATGGGGCTTCGTTTGTTTGCATGGCCCTGTTTCTGGAATACCACAGCCTGGTGCTGGTCCATGGACTAGGGGTGGGGACCCCTGCTATAGAACATACTCATTCGGTAGGAATTTTAAGTAATAATTCTAAATAATGATGAAAAAGGAACACATACAATAACTTAATATGGGTCCTGAGGGAAAACATTAACTTAACTTTATGAATGTGAGCTAAGACTTCATGGATTTAGACACAACTTCTAAATCAATACTTTAAAGAAAAATGCTTAAGAAGATATCTCCCTTGTATATTTCTGACTTATTTCCTCTTCAAATAGTTAATTACTTAAGATTAGTGTTTGTGCAGATGAATCCACTTATTTTTCCAATACTTTCAGTTTTTATCAAGGGATCCTAATCCTCTCTTTGTAATTGTAAAGAATTTCTTTATATGAATTACTAGGATTATGTTGATCAGTAAATAAAGAAAATTAATCATTGCACGAATTGAAGACTCCATAAAATCATTTCATGAATTATCATGATGAGAGTTATATTTTCATGCGAAGCATTTTAAAAAACTCTGAAATATGAAACGGCCAAAAGAGGAATAGCATGTAAACTGAACTCAAATGAGTTTATTATTAACTTCATCCTCTGTAATGCATATAGGGATGGTATGAAATTGAAGAAGGCTTCCGGTGGGACGGCGCGCCGATGGCGGCTCTTTTGGAGCCGTCCGCTTGGGAAGGCGTCAGAGCCAGCCTGAACAGCGGACATCAGCTGTTCAG